ATTTTTAAAGATCATATCATCATACGTCATATAACCATACTTTTCAAAACCATGGAATTTAGGGGTTCTATCCTAAATGTGATCCTACCCATCACACACTATCACACAATCCCCATGATCATACGAAAACCCACCCTTACTGTCCAGAACTGTTATCTTGCTCAAATTCAAGCCTATTTCTCCACTTCTATCTCTTGTCCTCTCGATACTACAACCAATACACATTATCCTATCAATTTCTACCAGTTTTAACTTCAGAACCCACACCGATGTTCATCATCAGAACTATCAGAGTTACTCAGAACCCCACCCAAATTTACAACAACAATGGATGCACCAAATTCTACAATATCATACACCAAATTTACCCATATCAACAGCAACAACAATTATAAACACCAATTCACCAATTCATCAACATATAGGTCATATTCATCAAAATCTCTACGGGGTTAAGGAATCCCCTCTACCCAATTCATGTAACTACCAATCTCAATCAGTTTCTCCCCCCTTACCTCGATTAGTGCTCTGATTGTTGAAGAATCTTCAAGAATCATTAGCCCTAGCCCTCTTTCCTTCCTCCTTGTTCTTCCTATTTTCTCTTTTCTCTTGGAACTGATGTATCGTGTTTTAACTTTCTTTTCCCAAAACTTCTCTAATATTACTTATTCCCTTATCACTTATTCCAACCACTCATATTCCCAATAATAATAATAATAATAATAATAATAATAATAATAATAATAATAATAATAATAACTAATAATAACCATAATAATAATAATAATAATAATAATAATAACCATAATATTACTATTATTTATTAGATTACCACCAATATTATATTATATTATATTAATATCAATCTCCATACTTAAGGGTACCCACTACGCATCCAGACACATTCTCCCACAATGACACACCAATAATAAAATATCACCAAAAGGCTAAATAATTAAAATGGATGTTGCAACTGTCATGTCAGGCCTCGTCCTTCACAATTGAAGTAAAAACCTCAAATCAATAGGAAACCCTTGTTTTGCCTTGAGTTAGAATCAATTGGTCATGTTCTGAAATACTTGACAGTGAGAATATGTACCATATCCACTTGAATTTAATGCACATGCATAAACTTGTTAGTTATAATAAGCACACACACAAGATCCTATGACCTAATTCTCAGAAGATCATGGCCAAAGGCCGAATGATCTTACAGAGAGAAAATTGAGAAAGGTAGGACAAATTTGGGGTATGACACATTGCATTGTAATTATGTTGTGCTTGTGCATTTGTTGTGGTGAGAATGTGATTGTGAATGAATGTGATTTATGTGTATAAATCCTACTCTCTTAATTATTATACACCGTTTATCATATGAATGAATTTCTCTCCCCTTTTGTGTTTTTTGTGTCTGTGCTCCATTGAAGTACAAACCATCAGGTACCTGAGTAGTTGGAGATGTGCCTCATGTTTCAATCGGTCGAGTCTACCAGAAGAGTTGCTCTGATACGTAGCACCGGGGTACATGATATTTTCTTTATGTTATTCTGTTACGTATATTTTACTTTAAAGTAAATATTAAACCACTTTTGGTGTGAGTGATTTGTTAAGGCTATGGATGCTATACTTTTGTTTAATTCCGCTATTTGGACTATAACTTTTTATTAAATGAAGTAACATTCAAATTTCTTGGATTATGAAGTCACATCCTACTTAAATAGAATTATATTTTATTTATTAATTATTGAGTTGGGAAGTAGGGTGTTACACTCAAGTCTTCTTTGGAGTAATTCAGATTAAAGTTATATATTCAAGTCTTGTCATTTGTTTTCATATTCAATTGCTTTTTTATTTCAATTGTCCATTATGAATTCACATGTGAACATCGAATAATTAGTTGTGTTTGCCCTCACCATGATTGAGAAATCCATTAGGGAGTAAGGGTTATGAGGATCATCTTATAACCGTTTGTATGATTCGTCACATGTCGATTACAAGAGTATTTTGTCTAAATTTATTTTATTGCATGAGTTCATGCATTCCAACTCTTGTACGAAAGTAAAATGTTCTCAGTTATTGGTCGTAGTTTGAAAGGATATATGTCGGTACTGAATCATAGGTTTTTAAACAGACAAGTCCAATATAATGAAAGTGCTTGGATGAATTTGAGAAAGTTTTATAGCTGAGTAAAAGTAACGAATCCTTGACGAATAATTTAGTCGTGCGAAAGCAGACGAATTATTTGTCATCGATAGGGCAATGCGCTAGCGAAAACAAATATTGCCCAGATATATATATATATATATATATATATATATATATATATATATATATATATATATATATATATATATATATATATATATATATATATATATATATATATATATATATATATATATATATATATATATATATATATATATATATATATATATATATATATATATATATATATATATATATATATATATATATATATATATATATAAATCATGTCGAAATACTCGTAATAGAAGTGACTCAAATTGTATGAATTTGTTAGAGTGATAACGATAACCCTATGTTCGATTTGCCTAAATAAAAATTTAAGTGATTTTGCAATTAAACTGTTTTTATTTAACTGTTTTTTGTTTAAGCTGTTCTTACCAAAACTCGTATTATTTATTTCTCTAAATATACATCTATAAGACAAAAATTTCTACTTAAACCATTGGTTTATGTAGTTCGATAATTTTCTACTACTTCGCACAACTGTGCATTTTTGACGTGTCAAAGAAAATATAAAAAGAAGGGAAAGTAGGAGAAGATATTGTTCTTCAGGAAGATTAGGATAAACCCAAAGTAAATTGTGAAAAGTTAGGGAAATAAATATCTAGTGAAGTTATTTAAAAGGAATATCCTTATAAGAAGGCAAATTAATCACTTGAAAAAAAAAATAGAAAAATCAAGTGTATTTATTCGTTGGCGTTTCATAGGTCGAGACATAGTTTATAAAAATTAGTTTTCTATTTTTCTACGTAATGATGATATCGATCAAACACATCAATTACCGATTACGTTGCATTATCTCACATCTCAAGGATAATCAATAATGCAACACATGTGATATTGTTTACACCTAAGAATAATTAAAGTGTAAATCATACCGTAAATTTTAAGATTAGTTGATGGAGGCGAGGTTAGGTGAGTAGGAACATAATTGAGCTTAAGGCAATCAAAATTTTATCATGTATACTAAAGTCTATCATAGCCATAAAAACTCTAGACTTAATGAAAATATAACAAGGACATGATAATTGAGCTTTAATATCACGTTCCATATTTGTAGCGTGACTAAGTGAAGAAGGCGATAACAAGAGAACCATAAACTGAAGAAGTTGTGCACCCATGAACAAAGTCATTGAAACAGCCGAAGAACCAAAAATAACAGCCACACGTGAAACACCACTTATTCCAAAAATGAAAAAAAAAACAATCACGCACTACCAACATAAATAATCAATTGAAAAAACATTTTTTTTAAGCCATAATGCTATAATTGATACCATAATACTATGAGTAGTATAATTTTCTTTGTATTTACAAACTTTATCATTGTTATATTTAGTTTTTTTAATCCATTTCTTAATTTAAGAGTGTCTTTGGATGAAGTATTTTAATGAAAGAAAGTAATCTTTTGAGAGAATTTAAAATGATTTGACCAAAATCCATTGTTTGGATAGAAAATATGAAGAATTGTTAAAATGATACTATACATTTATGAAGTATTTTATTCAAGTTAAATTTAAGAAATTTTTGATAAAAAAAAAGTTAAATTTAAGAAATTTTTGATAAAAAAAATTAAATTTAAGGAATAAATGACACCAATAAGTAAAGAATTTAAAATTGTCTTCTATCATTATAATGCAAATGTTAAATTATTTATTATTAATTTTTTAACTTTTTAATGATGGTCCTCATATTTTATTAAAATTTCAAATTCACCCTAAAAATTTTCAAAAAATTGAAAATAAGTCCCTAAATCTTTTCAAAATTTTCAAATTGGTCCATATTTTTAATATTTTAAATTTGATTCAAAAGTTTACAAATTTATAAAAATGACTCCAAAATTTTAACAATAAATCATTTTTATACTCCATCTATACAAAAACATTTAAAAATAAATAAATTTCAATTAATTAAAATATTAAATTCTTTAAAAACTTTCAATTACTCAATCCGAATCCACTCTAATAATTCAATTTCTCATCTCCATATTTAACACATTTAAAACACTTAAAAATTCCACAAGTGAAACACTAAGTTTCTCTCCTATTCTCTTAACACAATTGTTTAATGAAAAAAAAGTCATTATTAAAGATATAATCAAATTTCAACTAAACTTTCAATATTGAACAATAATATATGATAAATTATTTATATATATTTTCATTAATTAAAAAGTTGAATAATTGTAATAAAAAAATCAATTTTATTTTACTACCAAAAACAAAAGTCCCACAAGTAAAAGTAAATCTTTTACCCAATATAAAACTTGCACAACCAACGGTACAAAATCCAACACAGTAAAGGTTTCTTTTAACTCAATGCGACAGTATAAATAACAATTAGGATAGTTTCGTACTTTTCTATTGTCGTTAATCTCACGCTTTCACTAACCTGCAAAAACAAAATTTCTCACTGAAGAATCGAAAGCTACATCTCAAAATTAGGGTTCAATTTTCTTCTTCCTTCGAACCCTAATCTCAACAAGTAGGGTTTTCCTCGCATTCCAATTCATCTCCATACTGAATGATCGCACTGTTCTTCCATCCTTCTCTTTATCATACAGTCTTAATCCCTTGCGCATGGTCGATTCAACATCCCAATTCAATTTCTTGAATTGTTGTTTCTTCCAATCCAAGGAAAGATAGAGTCTTGCAGACCGTAGTTCTCTGATTGCCGTTCCAATTTGAAAGGAAAATCGAAAAATTTGGTGAAATCAGTCTTTTATATCTATGGATTTCGACGGTGGTAATAAGCGCGTTTATAACCGTCTCGGTGGGTCCACCGGCGGTGACTCAAAGAATCAGAAAGTGTGTTATCAATGGCAAGCGGGGAAGTGCAATCGTTATCCGTGTCCGTTTCTGCATAGTGAGCTGCCTACTTCTAATGGAAATGGTGCTCCTTCAAAACGGCCTTATGCTGAAAATTCTGGTTTCTCGGGTAACCGACGTGGTGGTGGGTCGAGTTTTAATACGTGGGGGCCTGGGCGTGGTGGTGGACGTGGTCGTGGTGGCCGTGGTAGTGTTGGAGGTGGTGGGAGGGGAGTTGTTGTGAATATTGATAAAGTTTGCACTTATTGGATTCAAGGAACTTGTGGTTTTGGAGACAGGTGTAAGTTCCTTCACTCTTGGAGTGTAGGGGATGGCTTTTCTTTACTGACTCAGCTTGAAGGACATAAAAAGGTAAAGAAAAAAAGTTTAGTTTATTAATTTTATAGAGATGTGTCATTGACTTATTGTAGTTTAGAAATCTCTTGATGGTGAAACCTATTGATGTCAACATGTTTATCATTGGATTTCATGTTACACAGACCAAAATACAATAACGGTATCGGAAGGTGCCCATATGGTTATTCACTGTTTTATGATGAAAAAGAAATCGTGGATAATTCACAATGCGACAACCGCAATCAGTATCACAACACCCGACTGAAATTGCGGAAGCCTTTACGTGATGGGGATCCCTTATTTAAAATCTGGTTCATGTTTATCATTGAATTTCATGATACAGACAGGCCAAAATACAAGAACTTATGTTTTGAATTTCATGTTGATAATATTGATTTGTTTTAAATGGTAGGTAACATGAAATGTTACTATGCATATCAGTTCATTGTGATGTGTTAAAAAGGAAAATATTAATAAATGACGGCATTGATTAAGTTTGAAAATTTAATATTTTTTTTGGGATGAAAGTATTTAAAAAAAAGTTACTTATGTACTAAATGCTTAATATTGATTGATTTGTTGAACTGTGTCTCATAAGTAATACTTATGTTAATTAAGGCAGTTTTGGGTGATGTGTTGATGGGATGAGTTTTGGTTTTGTTGAATGAACAGGTTGTGAGTGGAATTGCTATGCCCTCTGGTTCGGATAAGCTTTATACTGGAAGTACTGATGAGACTGTAAGGGTTTGGGACTGCCAGTCTGGACAGGTTGCTACTATTTTTTTGTTTTTCTGTTTGTTTTATTTGCAATTTTGTTTTAGTTTTAAGTGCATAGACAACTCTTTTTGGAATGTCATGAGTTTCTTTTGTATAGGTGAAAAATGAGTTATTTTTTATACTTGAAGTTTGAGATTTTAGCTAGGTCAAGTATTATATTTATCATCATATAGATTGAATTTTATACTTGAAAGCTAATGTATATTGTTCTCTTAAAGTAATGCTGTCTTTGTTGAAAAAGACAGCATTACAACCTTATATTTTTTTATATCTTGAAGTTTGAGATTCCATTTCTTGTTGCTCACACCTCGTGTTTATGGTAATGTATATATATGTAGAAGATTTCTTAATGTATATAGCATTAAAAAAAACTATTTTATTCGACATCACATTTTCTTGTTCTTTTTCAATTTCAAAGTTAGCAGGAACTTGTATTTTGTTTTGAATTTCATAATTTTGAAGTAATGCCAAAGAACTAAAGTAGGTGTAAAACTGAACTTATATTTTTGTTTATGATCCCGTGCAGTGTATAGCTGTGATCAATCTTGGTGGTGAAGTTGGTTGTATGATCAGTGAAGGTCCCTGGCTTTTTGTTGGCATACCCAATTTTGTTAAGGTTAGAAAGAGTAAATAAGCATTTTATATATTTTTTTATTAAGTACCTCAACTCTATTTAGTGTAATATTTTTGTTAAGATACTATTTTTCTGCCACTTGTAGTATCTTGACTGATACCCTATTTGGTTGGTCTTGTTGGTTGTCAGGCTTGGAACACACAAAATTCAATGGAACTAAGTCTAGACGGCCCTGTTGGTCAAGTTTATGCACTTGTTGTGATTAATGATATGCTCTTTGCTGGTACCCAGGTAATCTTTTTCTTCCATTGGCGATATATTTTGTTTTTTTTCCGTCATAGTCTATTTCTTGAGGCAGTAATCCTGACTTCTGATGTATATTATTATGCTGGTGCCTATGGAATACATATGTTGTTTGTTGAAATTAGTAAGCGCATTGCCATTTTATTTTCCATGCATTTAACTTTGTAGAATGCTATCCGACTGAATGTCCAATCAAAGCTCATTTCTGGTTGCATTCTGCTTAATTACTGCTCTGTGTTCTGTTTTTGTGTTCTTGCTGGTGGTGTTTTATTAATAGTTGATTGGTTCTGTATTCTTGCTGTTGGGTGTACCTATTTTAAGTTGTTAACTTGGCAAAATGACTAAAATTACTGGATCCAGGACTTTATTTTAATGTGAAATAAACTTACAACTATAATTTGAGTTTAAGTTCATGAGTTATGTAGACTCTTGTTACAACAGCCTTTCTAAATTTAGAAATGTGAGGGACTGGATACTGCTTACACCAGCATTAAAAAGTAAGAACTGACTAGGGAATCTGTGGTATAAGCCTTTAACCATTAACTTGCAACTCTTGCAATTTTATGCCTACATTGTTAATAGCGCCATTTTGCCTGGAATAGCACTGGTGCGGCCCAGAATAGGAGCTTGTCGGCACTAGTAGACCAGATGTGCCGGGGATTGTTGTTCTCATTTTTTATGCAACTTCGTCTGCTGTCAATATTTTCTTCTAAAAATTAAGACTCAGACGCTGCTGATACGTAAGATCCATGTGCAGCTGTCTTCGAGCCAACTGCTACCAACCTAGACTCCACTGCATGTCTTATACACCTTGGGAGTTAGAATATTTAGTTACTGTAAGTCTTAGAGATTAAATGTGATGTTTGTTGGTACATGTGTGCTTAAGACTTGTGATTGTGACTTTTGAGTTATTTGTCGAAAAATTGTTCACATAGCGACCATCCAGCCAAACACTACTTTGGTATCCTAGTTTTTGTGCTCAGCGGCACTGCGCGCCCCTATCATGGACCGACAGCTATGGTTTATGCTCCTAGAATCTTAAGAAATATTTTTACTTATAGTAAAAAAAATGTTTTTTTAGGATTTTTAGAATTTGTTATTGAAGGTGAAAATTTAATTCACGAAACCCTTGTCTACACGAGTTTGGAAGACCAGCTTAAATTTTAATTTCAAGGGAAATGTTACTCTTGCAGGATGGAGCTATATTGGTATGGAAGTTCAATGTAGCTACCAACTGTTTCGAGCCAGCTGCATCTCTTAAAGGTCATTCCCGTGGTGTTGTTTCATTAGTTGTTGGAGCTAATAGACTTTATTCTGGTTCAATGGACAATACAATTAGAGTAAGTATACTTAAGCTCTCTTTGATAATCATTTTCTTTACATTCCTCTTGAGCAATGTGGAATTTGGTTTTGGTTTTTATTTATTCGAGTTTTGATTTATTTGTTCCAACTGGTTGCTTCTTTTCAGGTCTGGAACCTTGAAACCTTGCAGTGTTTACAGACACTAACAGGGCACACATCTGTTGTGATGTCTGTCCTTTGCTGGGATCAGTTCCTTATATCTTGTTCATTAGACAAAACAGTGAAGGTAGGTTTCTCACTATTTGCTGATATTTGTTTGTATTTTTGTTTTTTGGCTTGACTGTTCTGATTTATTATACAGGTCTGGTTTGCTACAGAAAATGGAAATTTGGAAGTGACATATACTCACACCGAAGAACATGTATGTATGAATTTATTTACTTCCCCCCCTGAATTTTGTTGACCTTATGCATGAATTTTCTTGTTCCATTTGAAATGTTGATATTTCATGATTGTTGGGATTCAATTCCATTTATTACCTTTCTGTTAAACAACCTAGCAACTACCCTTATCAACTAAACTCATATCATCACAGGGGCTTAGAGAATATAAAAACCTTACACTAGTTTCTGATAGGAATGCTTACATATGTATTTAGCTTATTGTTTAGATTCATTCTTGACAATACATCATACATAATGTTCTCCTAAACACCGAAGCGCAGGGCCTAATACAGGACAAAAATAACTCGGCTCATGAACTGCTTGATGTTCATTGTGCAATTAAATGTTTATCGAGGTCAAATCGTTTTGATCAGTGTTGTCAAATATCAATATCGGAAAATGTTATAAATAATTAATTAGTTTGTTATTTTTATTAGTAATTTAAGTTTGGATCTTTAGTAAGGCCCATTAGCTCAAAATACTCTATTTAAAGGGATTAACACTTGTATATTCATAATAATAATATATCAAATTATTCAGCTTTGATATGGTATCAAGAGCTCTCGTTCGAGAGGGTTTCGCTTCCGCATAAAAAACCCTAGCTGGCTTAATTGCAGTCTTTTGGTAAAACTATTCCAGCACTGTGCGACACTGTTCATCGCACTGTGTGGTACCGTTCACCTTGATGTGTGCTACTGTTCATCACACTGCTGCAATACCGTTCACCGCTGTTTCCGGCAGTATTCATCGCTGTTATTTCCAGTACTTCCAGCGCTGCTGTTCCGGCACTGTTCACGGTACTTTTTAGCACTGTTTATCGCTACTGTTTGCGGTATTGTTCATCCCCACTGTTAGAACAACCTCGTACTTGTGATTTTTTTTACTTGCATTTGTTTCTAAATTCTTTCAATGGCTGACAGTAAAGATGAAACAAATGCGTACAAATCTGAATCAAAATTACCTATTATTCCTCAAGTTTACAAATTGAATGAAAAGAATTATTTAAAGTGGTCTCAACTTGTGAAAACGACCTTGAAAGGTAAGGGAAAAGCAAAACTCCTTCCAGACGCACCTCCCAGAGAGAAAGATCTCACATTTGACAAGTGGGATACAGAAGATTTAGCGACCATTGCATGGTTATGGGCTTCAATGACTCCAGAAATTAGTGACACTTGCATGTTCCTAAGTACATCAAAAGAGATTTGGGACGCATTAGAAGAAACTTATTCTAAAGTCAAAGATGCTGCCCAAATATATGATGTGAAGGTGAAAACACTAGGAACTAAACAAGGCAACAAATCAGTTACAGAATACGCTATTCATCTAAAAGCCTTGTGGATGGAGTTAGACCGCTATAGAGTTATCAAAACCGAGTGTACAACAAATGCAACAAAACTTAGGGAGCACATTGAGCAAGATAGAGTCTACGACTTTCTGGTAGGGCTCAACTTTGACTTTGACCATGTTAGTACAAATTCTTGGCAAAGAAAAAGTACTGAACATTAATGATGTAGTGTCTATAGTGAGGAGTGAAGAAAGTATAAGAGAATTATTGTTGACACCACCATCTATGGAAAGCTCAACAATGCTAGTTGAGAAGAGTTCAACCATATTAGTTGATCAAAAGAAATTGGGTGAAACCTATCTTGAGAAGAAGGGCGAAGGGGTGTGGTGTACTTATTGCAACAAGCCTCATCATACTCGAGAAAAATGTTGGAAATTGATTGGCCGACCTTCTAATAGGGAGTGGGGACAAAAAAGAGACTTATCTAGAAAGGGAGGACATGCACACATGGCTGGAAGTACTAGTGGAGACAATCTAGAAGGAGGGGTGCACCTTAACCTAAGTGAAGTTATCTTTTCCATTTGGCAACTCTCCATTTTTGTTTGGACTTAATGTCTCAGATATACCCTTTAAACAATACTGGATATTAGACTCTGGAGCCACTTACCATATGACACCCTTACCCATACACAATTCTCCACCTATTCACCTTACCCCAGTAACAAAAGAATATCCGCTGTAGATGGCACCCTTATAACTATTGTAGGTGAAGGAACAATTAAACTTAATTCATCCATGACTCTTAACAACGTTCTTCATACCCCAAAAATGACTATTGGCCTAATTTCCATACATAAACTTTCAAAAGACCTATCATGTAATGTTATTTTCTATATGACTCTTGTGTTTTTCAGGACAAGAATTCGGGGAGGACGATTGGAAATGCTAGAGAATGGAATGGTATTTACTACTTGGATAACAAAGATTCAAATCCATATTTTCTCAACAACAATTCAGTTTTGTCAGAATCAATAAAGACCAATAGGGAGAAGGTTCTCATATACCATTGTCGCCTGAGTCATCCTTCGTTTAGAGTCATTAAGCAGTTATTTCCTGTTTTATTTAAAACATTAGATGTTGAGAGTCTTCATTGTAAGGTGTGTGAGCTTGCTAAACATAAGCGTGTACCTTTCTCCATTAGTAATAAAATGAGTACTTTTTTGTTTCATCTAGTTCATACAAATGTGTGGGGTCCATCTAATATTCCAAATATTTCAGGTGTCCGTTGGTTTATCACCTTTATTGATGACTGTACTCGGGTTACTTGGGTCTACTTAAACAAAAATCTGAAGTTAGTCATGTGGTTCCTCAATTTCTCTCTATGGTTAAAAATCAATTTGGTATTAGTATTAAGAGGATTCGGTCTGATAATGCCAAAGATTATTTTAATCATAATCTTAATTCCTTGTGTCAAAATGAAGGTATCATTTACGAGTCTTCATGTGTTAAAACACCCCAACAAAATGAAATTGCTGAAAGAAGAAATGAGCATTTGCTAAACCAAACACGTGCTATGCTATTTCAAAATAAAGTACCAAAGAATTGGGGTGAGGCAGTTTTAACTGCATCGTATCTCATAAATCGTTTGCCTTCTACTGTCCTTGCTTCTAAAGCTCCTATGGAAGTCTTATCCTCGTTCTATCCTAATGTGTCTACCTCTAGTAACCTCACTCCTAGGATATTTGGGTGTACATCGCTCGTCCATATTCATAGTGATGGTAGAGGAAAACTTAATCCTAGAGCTTTAAAGTGTCTTTATAGGATATTCTTCCATCCAAAAGGGTTACAAATGTTATCATCCACCGTCTCACAAGTTCTTTGTCTCTCGAGACGTCACTTTTCATGAACAAGAAAGTTACTTTGTTCAAACTCATCTTCAGGGGGAGAACGTAAATAAGGAAGATGAGTTGCTAATACACTCCCTGACCTTACTCTTGGAACTGAACGTGAACGTGATTCTGAAGAAGATGAAACTGATGTAATATATGGGAAAAATTTAGTATATAAAAGAAGGAAGACATTCTTGAATCTACTCATATAAAAGAATGATACTTAGGAATTGGTTTCTTTACTAAATGGAAAGAAACCTGTAGGGTGCAAGTGGGTATACACTATTAAATACAAGGCAGATGGATCAATTGAGAGATACAAGGCAAGATTGGTAGCTAAAGGATTCACTCAAACCTATGGAGTAGATTACTCAGAGACATTTGCTCCAATTGCAAAATGAATACAATTAGGGTGATATTATCTATAATAGCTAATTGTAATTGGAACTTAAACCATTTTGATGTGAAGAATGCGTTCCTTCATGGTGAACTTGAAGAAGAAATCTCAACAGAAATACATTACTGATCTTCTGCAGGAAACTGACAAGACAGCATGCAAATACACCCGTTGATCCAAATGTAAAGTTGGGAAATGCAGAAGAAGATATTGTGGTTGATAAAGAAATGTATCAGAGATTAGTTGGAAAACTTATATACCTTTCACATACTAGATCTGATGTTGCTTTTGCCGTTAGCTTAGTCAGCCAATTCATGCATCGGCCGAATGAGATTCACTTACAGGTTACGCTTCGAATTGTACAATATTTGAAAGGAACACCTGGCAGAGGAATTTTGTTTGAAAGAAATGGGAGTGTAGGTCTTGAAGCATATACCGATATCGACTATGCAGGGTCAATTGTGGATAGGAGATCAACTACAGGTTATTGTACTTTCCTAGGTGGAAATCTTGTGACTTGGAAAAGTAAGAAACAAAATGTAGTATCGAGATCTTGGAAAAGTAAGAAACAAAATGTAGTATCGAGATCTAGTGCTGAAGCAGAGTTCAGGGCAATGGCACAAGGGATATGTGAACTAATATGGCTGAAATCAATCTTAGAAGATTTGAGGATAAAGTGCGATGAATCGATGAGGCTTTATTGTGATAATAAATCGGCTATCAGCATAGCTCATAATCAAGTGCAACATGATAGAACCAAACATATTGAAGTTGATAGACACTTCATTAAAGAAAAATTAGACAATGGCCTTATTTGCACTCCATATGTGTCTTTCCGAGGAAATCTTGCAGATCTTCTAACAAAAGAGCTGAACAACAATAACTTTGAAGAAATTGTTTCCAAAGTGGGAATGATAGATATATATTCACCAGCTTGAGGGGGAGTGTTATAAATAATTAATTAGTTTGTTATTTTTATTAGTAATTTAAGTTTGGATTTTTAGTAAGGCCCATTTGGTCAAAATACTCTATTTAAAGGGATTAACACTTGTATATTCATAATAATAATATATCAAATTATTTAGCTTTGATAGAAAATATCGGATCACCAAAAAACCGATATGAGAAATATCGGATCGCGTAGCGGGCAAATATTGGAAGCCGCAAAGCGGTTAAAACAGAAATAAAAACTCAAAAGATTGAAAAATTCAAATCCAATAACTAAAACAGAAAAGCTAGAAACAGAAATTTAAAAGGAATTAAAACTCAAGAAATTAAATAGTTCAAACTAATAACTAGTAGTTCTTCTAAGTTTAACTAATGATAAAAGATTTAACTATTCTCCTTTTCCCTTTCCCAACATAATCATTATTCTCCTTTTCAAGATAGTGAGACATATCCTTTAGCTTCTTCAATTGAATCATCTAAATCAATGTCCTCAAATTTTGCTTTTGATTCTTCAATGACAGGATCTTCCACTTCAATAACTTGTTGCTTTCACCAGCTTGAGGGGGAGTGTTATAAATAATTAATTAGTTTGTTATTTTTATTAGTAATTTAAGTTTGGATTTTTAGTAAGGCCCATTTGGTCAAAATACTCTATTTAAAGGGATTAACACTTGTATATTCATAATAATAATATATCAAATTATTTAGCTTTGATAGAAAATATAGGATCACCAAAAAACCGATATGAGAAATATTGGAAGCCGCAAAGCGGTGAAAACAGAAATAAAAACTCAAGATTGAAAAATTCAAATCCAATAACTAAAACAGAAAAGCTAGAAACAGAAATTTAAAAGGAATTAAAACTCAAGAAGTTAAATAGTTCAAACTAACAACTAGTAGTTCTTCTAAGTCTAACTAATGATAAAAGATTTAACTATTCTCCTTTTCCCTTTTCCAACATAATCATTATTCTCCTTTTCAAGATAGTGAGACATATCCTTTAGCTTCTTCAATTGAATCATCTAAATCAATGTCCTCAAATTTTGCTTTTGATTCTTCAATGACAGGATCTTCCACTTCAATAACTTGTTGCTTTCACCAGCTTGAGGGGGAGTGTTATAAATAATTAATTAGTTTGTTATTTTTATTAGTAATTTAAGTTTGGATTTTTAGTAAGGCCCATTTGGTCAAAATACTCTATTTAAAGGGATTAACACTTGTATATTCAAAATAATATCAAATTATTTAACTTTGATAGAAAATATCGGATCACCAAAAAACCGATGTGAGAAATATTGGAAGCCGCAAAGCGGTGAAAACAGAAATAAAAACTCAAAAGATTGAAAAATTCAAATCCAATAACTAAAACTGAAAAGCTACAAATAGAAATTTAAAAGGAATTAAAACTCAAGAAGTTAAATAGTTCAAACTAATAACTAGTAGTTCTCCTAAGTCTAACTAATGATAAAAGATTTAACTATTCTCCTTTTCCCTTTCCCAACATAATCATTATTCTCCTTTTCAAGATAGTGAGACATATCCTTTAGCTTCTTCAATTGAATCATCTAAATCAATGTCCTCAAATTTTGCTTGTGATTCTTCAATGACAGGATTTTCCACTTCAATCACTTGTTGCTTTCCCTTCCTAGATGAAGTACCGGCCGACTTCTTTGATTTAGATGAAGTGCCAACAACATTAGGGTTGGGAGTTTCTTTTCTCTTTTTAGTTGTTTGCCAAATATATCTTGTAGGCTCTCTAACTCCTGAAACTCTATAAACAACTTTCCAATTAAGGGCATCCTCATCATTCTCATCCTCAAAGACTTTTTCATTCCCAGCATTAACTTCATCACCATCCATCATCCTAATCAACCACTCATTTCACGAGTCTTCTATGTCACCAAGTGAAATTGGATAAATTTCATCCCTATAGTTGTATCAATTTCATTACAGGACGATTCCTATAGTTGTATCAATTTCATTACAGGACGAATGAACAGGTAGGTATATATAATACCAGGTACCGACTCAGTATGAAAGAAGAGGAAGAATGAACATGCATATATAATACTAGGTACCGACTCACTAGCCAACTGTTTCCTTTTTCAATGTTTCCACCTCTTTAGATTCTACTTTTCCACCTCCTTCACCTTACCCTCTTAACCTTACCTCTTTAATGTTTTTAAAAATGATTTATTATAAAAAAATAATAATAAAAATGTGGCTTCCGATATTCCATTCAAAACCTGTATACCGGAAAATTGCCGATATCGCGAGCATCGCAAAATTGAAATGTTATATCGGCTTTCGTATCGGATAGCCAAAATTCCGATATGCAATACCGGTATACTGGATATTTAACAACACTGGTTTTGATTAATATAAATTTAAAATGGAAAGAGTAGAAAACATTCATACAGTTTTGTGCAATTTTCCTTTCTTTTCACCAATGTCTCTTATTCTTTTACATTATGTACCCTGCATTATCATTTTCAAGGACTATCATACTTATTACTGCTCCCATGTGGCAGTTCTTTTCACCCAATTTCATGAAAAATCATAAAGAGTTGTTATTTTTATATTGGTTCATATTTTATGATATTCTTAGCAGTAATAACTTGTACATAAAATGTGGCTAGTGTTTGAGGTGGTCTTGGTTATGTTTCTAATGATGTTGTGATCTTCCTGTAGGGTGTAGTCACTCTCTGTGGGATGCATGATTCACAAGGAAAACCCATATTGCTGTGCTCTTGCAATGATAACACTGTTCGCCTCTATGATCTGCCATCGTAAGTGGATAACTTCATATACTTGCTCTTGTTAGATACGTGTATCTCAAATTTTTGTCAGAAAATCTGGATGTGGTTCATCCATTTTCATGGTATTCAAAACAAGTTTGGTTTATTGTACAACATTGTTTAAGAAATGTTTCTTTGTTATGCCATCTTTTATATTCTCCGGTCTCTTGAGAGTTTGGAACTTGTTCTGAACTTTCCTTCCATTTCTTGTGCAGATTTGCAGAGAGAGGCAAGATATACAACAAACAAGAGGTGCGGGCAATTCAGACTGGTCCTGGTAGCATATTCTTCACCGGTGATGGAACCGGCCAAGTGAGAGTGTGGAATTGGATAGCGGAACCAGCCACGGCCACGACCAATAACATCCAATAAAGTGGAAGGCTCTCTTATAATGTATTCCAGTTAATTGTTTGAGTAGTTTTTTTGATCTTCCTTTTTGTAATTTTTTAGCTGCAAGAAGGGGTGAGGTTGGTATTGCAGAGTAAAAAATAAGTGCTCGGATGAAACCTGGATTCTCTGGAGCCGGCCGAGATATGGTTCAACAGACTGTATTGATGCAGAATATCCGGGCTAGAACAAAAAGGAAAAGGAAATATGTAATCTATGTTTGCGGGATTAGTCCTTATTTTAGAATGTGAGCTGTGGTTTTGATGTTAAGTAGGTATCCTTGTCACAAAGCTTTGCTTTAGGATTGAAACATTTTGCAAAATCACAACATTATTTATTTAGCATTCATTGCACACCATCTTTTAATGAGTATATATTACAAGTAACCAAGATGTGTATTATTTTTCTTTGATCGAGTGTACTTACCTATGTTTGGATCAAATGTATAAGCACTATTCTCAATTAGCATTTGTTGTATGGGAGTTGGTTTACGCCAACAAGCATCTCTGCATAAGTTGATTTTCTTAAAACTGGCTTCATTAAAGTATCAAGCCACATTTTTTTGTTAAACTTCCACATCTAAAGCCTTCATGTTTTAAATTACTATAAAACAAGAGATACACACACATAATCACTTTCAATTGACACCAATTGTCAAATTTACCATATTTGACCTTTAAATTATCTAATACTATTATGATGAAGTTGTATATAAAATTTCAAACAATTTAAACATTCATAAATTTTAGTAGTTGATATTTGTATATGTTTGAAATGATTTATTACACGTTTAACTAAATTGATTGATAGAATATCAAATAATTTTTTAAAATTCTTTTGTAATCTTGCTCTATTCAATAATATTTTTATAACTATGTATGTATGTATGTATGTATGTATGTATGTATGTATGTATGTATGTATGTATGTATGTATGTATGTATGTATGTATGTATGTATGTATGTATGTATGTATGTATGTATGTATGTATGTATGTATGTATGTATGTATGTATGTATGTATGTATGTATGTATGTATGTATGTATGTATGTATGTATGTATGTATGTATGTATGTATGTATGTATGTATGTATGTATGTATGTATGTATGTATGTATGTATGTATGTATGTATGTATGTATGTATGTATGTATGTATGTATGTATGTATGTATGTATGTATGTATGTATGTATGTATGTATGTATGTATGTATGTATGTATGTATGTATGTATGTATGTATGTATGTATGTATGTATGTATGTATGTATGTATGTATGTATGTATGTATGTATGTATGTATGTATGTATGTATGTATGTATGTATGTATGTATGTATGTATGTATGTATGTATGTATGTATGTATGTATGTATGTATGTATGTATGTATGTATGTATGTATGTATGTATGTATGTATGTATGTATGTATGTATGTATGTATGTATGTATGTATGTATGTATGTATGTATGTATGTATGTATGTATGTATGTATGTATGTATGTATGTATGTATGTATGTATGTATGTATGTATGTATGTATGTATGTATGTATGTATGTATGTATGTATGTATGTATGTATGTATGTATGTATGTATGTATGTATGTATGTATGTATGTATGTATGTATGTATGTATGTATGTATGTATGTATGTATGTATGTATGTATGTATGTATGTATGTATGTATGTATGTATGTATGTATGTATGTATGTATGTATGTATGTATGTATGTATGTATGTATGTATGTATGTATGTATGTATGTATGTATGTATGTATGTATGTATGTATGTATGTATGTATGTATGTATGTATGTATGTATGTATGTATGTATGTATGTATGTATGTATGTATGTATGTATGTATGTATGTATGTATGTATGTATGTATGTATGTATGTATGTATGTATGTATGTATGTATGTATGTATGTATGTATGTATGTATGTATGTATGTATGTATGTATGTATGTATGTATGTATGTATGTATGTATGTATGTATGTATGTATGTATGTATGTATGTATGTATGTATGTATGTATGTATGTATGTATGTATGTATGTATGTATGTATGTATGTATGTATGTATGTATGTATGTATGTATGTATGTATGTATGTATGTATGTATGTATGTATGTATGTATGTATGTATGTATGTATGTATGTATGTATGTATGTATGTATGTATGTATGTATGTATGTATGTATGTATGTATGTATGTATGTATGTATGTATGTATGTATGTATGTATGTATGTATGTATGTATGTATGTATGTATGTATGTATGTATGTATGTATGTATGTATGTATGTATGTATGTATGTATGTATGTATGTATGTATGTATGTATGTATGTATGTATGTATGTATGTATGTATGTATGTATGTATGTATGTATGTATGTATGTATGTATGTATGTATGTATGTATGTATGTATGTATGTATGTATGTATGTATGTATGTATGTATGTATGTATGTATGTATGTATGTATGTATGTATGTATGTATGTATGTATGTATGTATGTATGTATGTATGTATGTATGTATGTATGTATGTATGTATGTATGTATGTATGTATGTATGTATGTATGTATGTATGTATGTATGTATGTATGTATGTATGTATGTATGTATGTATGTATGTATGTATGTATGTATGTATGTATGTATGTATGTATGTATGTATGTATGTATGTATGTATGTATGTATGTATGTATGTATGTATGTATGTATGTATGTATGTATGTATGTATGTATGTATGTATGTATGTATGTATGTATGTATGTATGTATGTATGTATGTATGTATGTATGTATGTATGTATGTATGTATGTATGTATGTATGTATGTATGTATGTATGTATGTATGTATGTATGTATGTATGTATGTATGTATGTATGTATGTATGTATGTATGTATGTATGTATGTATGTATGTATGTATGTATGTATGTATGTATGTATGTATGTATGTATGTATGTATGTATGTATGTATGTATGTATGTATGTATGTATGTATGTATGTATGTATGTATGTATGTATGTATGTATGTATGTATGTATGTATGTATGTATGTATGTATGTATGTATGTATGTATGTATGTATGTATGTATGTATGTATGTATGTATGTATGTATGTATGTATGTATGTATATATATATATATATATATATATTTAAGTAATCTTTTCGGCTCCCCCTTTTGTCATTGTCGCTACTGACATCTGATCTCGTCGACTCAATATTTTTGTAAGCACTGACTCTTATTCAATAGGGCAATGAAAATAAGAGAACGAGAACAATTGACTAGCACTAAAAGTCAGATTACAAATACATATTGTATGATTAAAAATTGTCATTGCATACTACTCGGTGCTTGCACGTTTAACTGGTGTTTCTCTCCAGCAATTAAGATTATGAGTACTCATTATATGATTAAAAACGCCGCTGCATATTACCCTGTGCTTGTAGGTCTGACTGGTGTCTTTTCTCCAATAGTTGCTTAAGTCAATGTTAAGTCAGATTACTTGACTTATTTAACACAAGTGTAATTTAACCTTTACAAACCACTTCACTGTCTGGCAAGCTTCGGCTAAAAAACAACAAGCAAGAGATTGAGCTGCGCATAGTTTAAAGAAGTATTAAAATTAGTTTGCATAAAGTGTTGTCTTTCCATTGTATTAATCTAATGATCTTAATTTCTTCACGCGCTCACAGACTACAGTGATACCGAAGTTTTTAATTCTTCTTTTCTTCAACCTTAATTTCATTTAAAAAATTCTCAACTTTTGTGAGTTTCAGTGTCTCACTTATTATTATTATTTTTTAAATATTTTGTTTTAATACCAAAACATACAAAATGCTAAAAATAAAGATATCACAATTTTGAGCATTGTTTAGATTATTCATTTTGGGTTATGCTAACCCGTTGTCTCCAGGGTATTAGTTAAGAATTTTTAATAAAAATATATATTATGTTCAATTCATTCAATATGCATAATATTTTTTAAAAAATTAATTATTTTTATTTTCAATGCATTGAATACATACGTATTAAAAAAAACATATTTTTTTAATCTTTTAAATAATATTCAATTTATTATTTTAATTTCTTAATCAATGTTCTGAGAGCACTCGTTTGCATTTCTCTCATATTTATACGAGTTAGAATAAAAAAAACAATTAGACAAATCAGTTGGTGTATAATATAAATAACTAGATTTTGATCCGCACAACAATAATAAAAACTAGAACATGATCCATTTATTGCGTATATGCGATTTAAATTTATTGAAAATTTTAAACATTATATTTATAATTTATATGATAAATTAATATATTAATTTATAAGGATGATAAATGACTTAAAGAAAGTATATTTTATTGTTGCTAAAATCAGGGCCGACCAAACACTCTACAAGGCTAAAACAAACTTTAAATTGAGGCTTTTTATATTATAAAAAAATTAAATTAAATTATTATAATATTTATTTAAAATTTATTTTTCAAACCTTTTAAGATGCAATTATTAAGTTATCATAATTAATTTTATTTAATATTTTTTTAAGCGACAATAAAGACAATCTATTTAACTTTTGTTGAGATATTGTTAATCTTAGATAAAATTTTATTAATTTTAATTTTAAAAAACTTCTTTTTGTTTAAGCAACAATTACAGTAATCATTAATATTATTCTATAAATAACAAATATATTTAGGAAGAAGTTTAGTGTTATTATATAATTAATATTATTTGCATAGCTGTTCAAATTTTTTACTGAAAATATTAAATTGATAGAAGTATTTTTTAGACCTTAATTTCTTTAATAACAAATTATATATTTGGGGCCTAGCGCCCTAGTCTTAGTGGCTTGGCCATACTAAATTGATAGAAGCATTTTTTTAGACCTTAATTTCTTTAATAATAAATTATATATTTGAGGCCTAAAGCCCTAACTTAGTGGCTT